CCATCTCAACAACAATCACCCCAACAACAACAATCCCGAGAGCAACAACCATTTCAACAGCAACAGCCATCCCAACAACAACTCCCAAGACATCAATAGCAAAGCCAGGTAAGCCCTGGAATTCATTTCCTATGTGTCCTTGCTCTCAGCATCTGCATTTGTACTTGCTTCTCATGTAGAAATTATAACAAGTGCAAATATTTCCTCTATATGCAAATGGGCCAGCTGGCTCTACACAAAATGTTAGGGCCATGCAAAACTTTGGGTTTCTTCTGGCTCTGCATGCCAAGATGAGCAAAGTTCACTTTTCAGTTCTTGAGCAATTTACATATACCTTGCAGTAGGAGATTCTCTTTTATTTTTGTGCTAGCCCTGATCGTAGCTAGCTTCCTACCTACACCATCTGTGGATTCCTATGTTAAAGTCAAAATAATTTTTCCCAATAGGTGGAGTGTCAGAACCATTCCAAAGGCAGTGGAATACCAGAGACAAAATAGTGAACTTTGAAGTCAAACCTGAGCATAGCTCTGCTACTTATCAGATGCAGGATTTGGATTGAATCATCTTGCTTCTCCAACTTCTGCATAGATAAAAATGGCACATTTTTCTTCTGTTTATCCTCCAGTATTATAAAAATGAATGTGGTATACACATGTGAAAGTGTTTTTAAAAATCACAAATCACCATGCAAATTATATATAATGTTTTCCTGCATTTACCCAAGACAGACTACCGTATATCTCTACCAAAGTAGATAATCAGTTTAAGCTAAATGCTATTGACAAGCCTAATAACATAAAACTCTAACTGATGGTTAACTATTGACTGACTCCACTAGGTTCTCTGTCTGTAATAGTAATGTGGGGTGGGGAGCTCAAGCATCTCCTGGAAGGGTGCTGTGCTCTCAGTGGACAATCACCAGGTTTCCATCTGCAGAGGGCTGGCCAGAGCTACGGCTGATGGACGGTTCCGGACGGTGCTCAGGACGTGTGGAGGTCCTGTACCAGGGAGCCTGGGGCACCGTGTGCGATGACTTGTGGGATCTGAATGAAGCTGAGGTTGTGTGCAGACAACTGAGGTGTGGCCGGGCCATCTCTGCCCTCGGGAAGGCCCACTTTGGCCCAGGGCCAGGGAAAATCCTCCTGGACAACCTCCAGTGTGCTGGAGTGGAGCGCTTCCTGGGCCAGTGTGCCCATGCGGGCTGGTTGGAGCACAACTGTGGTCACCATGAGGATGCAAGTGTCATCTGTTCAGGTACCTTCTCCCCTCTCAGATGGGCACTGACAGTGCCAGAGTGCTCCAAGGCCATCCTGCTGGCATTCAGAGTTAGCTAGGAACAGAGACAATATCCTCAAACCTGTAACATTTGATTTTGCTATACCTCTTCCAACTTGGTTAAGTAGATACGGTTTAACTACTGACCTCCAGAATGAAACCTTCTGATTTCCTCATTTGGCAGTAAGAATTATCAGAGAGTACGTGTGCTTTACTTAAACATGCAAAGCACATTTTTCATTGAGGGAACTCCGAGAGCTTATATAAAGGTGTTCATGGAAAGAGGCAGTTTGAGGCTGTAAAGCTGGACAAGACTTCAGAGGGGTCAGGCATGAGTCTGGCACTCAGAGCTGGTGCTAATACTCATGTAGGGGCAGCACTTAAACACTCAGAACCTCAGCCTGCTGAGGAGACTTTGCTCTCCTGTAGGGTTGACAAAAGAAGCAGAGATGTATTTCACAATGCACTTGCATAGTAACTCACAAAGAGGTTCCATATTTGACCATTCCCAAATGGTCATAATTCTAAGGAAATATGTGAGCTAAAGTGAACTAATTTTAGTGGCATTGTAGCAATTTTTTAAATACCTGTATTTGCTCATGTGCAAACAGCTGAGAATATGTTACCCCTGTATTGATAGCCCACTCTGATAATGAGGTGCTTTTTGGTGAACTAACAGCTGTAATCCTGAATGTGACTTGAAAGTAGTATTCACTGCCCAGAGCTTCCCATATGGGCAGCAGCTCCATTGTATGTCCCTACCTGTGGGTTTTCATATGAGGTGTATATTTAAAAGCATTGCTGTGTGTGTTGGTACAGGCATGTGTCCATCTGTTGGCTTTGTGACACCTTATTGTAATGGTACCTATTACCTACTTACAGACACATGGGCATGAGTTATTCCTAAATTTCCATGTTCTAGAAGATGATAGTCTAATCTGAGGTCTCCCAACAGCCCCCAAAGAGAAACCTGTCTGCTATAAAATCAATAGTGTGAGTCAGACTACCCCAAGTACACCCCTCCACATCTGGCCATTTTCTCATAGCAGTAGCAAATCAACACCCAGAAGAAAGCTTGCTTTTATTTTTATAGAGGAAACTACTTTTCCCAGTACCATATATTTAAAGGGGGGATTAATGTTTCCCACATTGGTTTACTAAATGTGAATAAAAACATAAAACTTAATCTTCAGTTGTTAAAATTGGGATTTCTGGAAAACACTGACGTGTTTATTTTCCGCACTTATAGATGATGAAGAAGGTCTGCCTAACAATCCAGGTCAGTAGTACCAAAGTCAGTTGGACTTGACTTTGTCCTAAAACATGTGTTCTTCCAGCTCTGAGTTCTCTGTTCACTTCTTTCCAAACTGCAGAGATCTACACACTGTTAAATTGCCTTTAGAAAGTCTTACTGACATTAATTTTAATGTTTCACGTGTCATGATATTATGTGTTTGCATGTGCGCACACATACTAGCACAAGTGCATTTTCAGAGACACATGAAAAGCCACTAGGTGGGAACGCACCCTTGTAATCTCAGCACTTGGGAGACTGAGGCAGAAGTCACAGAGAGTTCAAGGCCAGTCTGAACTATTTAGTAGGAACCTGTCTCAAAAGGTCAAGAGAGTTTCTGGTCTTTTGCACATCTTCCCTTTAGCTCAAGGACCTTCCCCTGTTCACCCCTGAACTAATTCCTTCTCAACACACTGATCACAGTGTGGAATAGTGCACTGCACTGGTATCTACATTTCACTAGTAAATACAGCTCTCTGAGGACAGAAACAATATCTCTTTGGTTTATGGCTGAATTATTAGCACCTGATCTGGAAGACAATAAATACTGCTGAAGCGAAATTAAATTTGCTACAGATCTCACACCTGGCAACTCAAGAAGCCATGAGAAATGTGAAGAACAAGCCCTTAGCATCAAGATTGGGGATGCCCTTTCCCAGTCCCCTTTGGAGCTGACGCTGCTAGGCCCCTATGTAGACTTTTGGGGGCCTCACACACCACCTCTCTCTGCAGGGAACTGGCCAGAGCTGCGGCTGGTGGGTGGCTCTGGTCAGTGCTCAGGCCGTGTGGAGGTCCTGCACCAGGGAGTCTGGGGCACTGTGTGTGATGACCTGTGGGACCTCAATGAAGCCAAAGTTGTGTGCCGGCAGTTGGGGTGTGGTCAAGCTGTTTCGAGCCCCGGTGAGGCCCAGTTTGGTGCTGGCACAGGAAGCATCTTCCTGGACAATGTCCAGTGCTCTGGGATGGAACGGTTTCTGGGCCAGTGTGCCCACTTGGGCTGGTCAGAGCACAACTGCGGCCACCATGAGGATGCCGGTGTCATCTGCTCAGGTACCCACTTTCTTCTCAGGCAAAACTTTCTACTCTTAAGATTTAAGATCTTTGGGAGCTCTTTCCTGGGTGAATTTTTGTATCCATTCATCCACTCATTCTTTGAGCATCTTGTGAGGGCCAGGCCCTGGACCCAAACATACACCCTGCATGGGCAGTTCTGGGTTTGCATAGAGGAGGCCTTGGTGTCCGTGGCACCAGCATACCTGGGGCATTACAAAGCAGATTCCAGGGCCACAGCCCCATAGACTATGACTAAGTAGGTTTGGAAAGGGGCTCAGGGGTCTGTATGTTGACAAGTAGCTGAAGGATTCCACATAGGAGGAGCCAAGGGTAATCCTGCCCTGGCTGTCAAGGGGCAGAGTTGATCCAGCTGCTAGGTCCCAGATCCCTAGATCAATGTCTCTACCAGAGAGAAGTTGAAGGTACCCAGGGGGAAGTTCTGGTACCTTGGATTTCTCTACCCACAAAGGCCATGGTCCTGTCTCCTTCACTTCCCTCTGGGACCCTGGTCACCTCACCTCCTCCATACATTGTACTTAAGGAGAGTGACCTGTTACCTTCTTTTGTGCATGCAGATGCAGAAGACACATCTCTACCTACACCTCCAGGTATGTCTACATTTTTTCTAGTTCAAGCAACTTTCCAACAACAACAACAATAATAATAAGAACAGTAAATATTTGTAAATACTAAGGGTCAGGCATTGTTTTAAGATATTTACATATACACTGATGCCCCTCAAATTACACTGAAGTTACTTTCCCACTCACCTACTGAGAGTTGAAAATATTCTAAGTAAAAAAATTCATTTTGTATACATAACCTAATGAACTTCATAGCAACCCAGCATACTGTAGAGTGTCACCTTTGTTATAGTGTGGTTGTTGTGAGCTGTGGTTCACTGCCAGTACCTGGCATCTCAAGAGAACGGCATAGTACATATCATTAGCCCAGGAAAAAAATTCAAATTCAGAGTTTGAAGTATGGTTTCTACTGAATGAATATTCTTCCACACCATTATAAAGTTGAAAACTCATTAGTTAAATCCCTCATCAATCAGGGGCCATCTGCAACTCACTTAATTGCCACAATAATCCTTTACAGTAAGTGCACTGATTATTTACATTTTCCAGATAAAGTGAGACTTAGAAAGTCAGGAAAATACCAAAAGATAGCCAGGCATGGGGGTGGATGGCTGTAATCCCAGCATTTGGGTGGCTGAGGCAAGAGGATTGTGGAAAGTTTAAGGCCAACCTAGCCTATATAGTGAGCTCAAGGCCAGCCTAAACTACATAGCAAGACCCTGTCTCAAAAAAAAAAAAGAAGAGGAAGAGGAAGAGGAAGAGGAAGAGGAAGAAGAAGAAGAAGAAGAAGAAGAAGAAGAAGAAGAAGAAGAAGAAGAAGAAGAAGAAGAAGAAGAAGAAGAAGAAGGAAGAAAGGAGAAAGGAGAAAGGAGAAAGGAGAAAGGAGAAAGGAGAAAGGAGAAAGAAGAAAGGAGAAAGGAGAAAGAAGAAAGGAGAAAGAAGAAGGAAGAAACCAAGATAGCTAGTGGACTTGAACCCAAACTGTCGATGCTCTTGACTACCAATTTTATTAACCATCCCATACATTAGCATAGGATACACGAAGACCAAGGCAAATGAAGAAAATATTGTTGAGTGAAAGAATTCATTTTGGTTATCTGCTACCCCAAAACTCAGTGACTTAAAACAGCCACCATTTAGATAAAGGCTATGTTTTGTGGGTTGAGAAATTGGCAGGGCTCAGATGGGAGATTTTTTGTCCACCAGAGCATTGATCAGAGTCACTCGCTGGTGTCCATCAGGTGGCTGGTCTGAAGAGTTCAAAATAGTCTCACTGACATTTGGCTCCTGGATGCAGACAACTGGGAGGTAGGGTACTCTTCTTTCCAAGTGATCTCAGCAGGGTGGCATAGGGCTGCAGTCATGAGCCAGTGTGCTCAGAGAAGAGATGTGGAAACCGTGGGTCTCTTGAGGCACAGCACCACTTCTGGCTCATTCTGCTGTTCAAAATAATGACAGAGCTTAGCCACCTTCAAGAGAGGGAATCTAGATCCCAGCCAGAGACAGAAGGCATGTCTGAGAACTTAGGCTTGCTTTAATTCACCACAGCGCCACAGCAAATATTCACTCAGTATCTTCAGATTCTTTACTTTGCAACAGATTCATTGATGTTTATGAGGAATCTTTACACTTCACTAATTTATAGATGAGATTAATTATTTTCCTGTATGTCATTATCATCTCCTTTTCTCCCTTCCAGGTCTTTCTACAACTTCTCTGGATCATATAACAGGTAGTAACTTGTTTAAGGTTGAAATGGTAATTTCATGTCAGGAGATCCTCCCAGCAGATATTAGTGTGTCAGGGACGTGGCATGAGGAAATACTGGCCCAGTATGGGCAAGGGACCTACTTCTCCACTGGTGCCCTATAAATGCTGACTTCTTAGCAAGGAGCAGGCTGGAAAGAAGGGCTATGATGCACCCAGGTCAGAGTGGGCAGCAGGATGACAAGAGAGGGGAGAATACAGCTCATCAGTCCATCTGACTCATGCTCAGCTTAGTACTGTAGCAGGGGCTCCATCATCCTCTGCTGGACACCTATAGTGATTACAGGAAATTCAACTCCCAGGAGCTTCAGGGTCATGCTGACATGGCCCAATTATTGTTACCTGCAAATGTGATCAATGAGAGACCTACAGGATGCCCCCAACTCCACTTGACCACTGAGTATGAGCTGGGCATCATGTGGCCACATTGTAACATCTTTTTCTCATTTTCTTCAGGAGGAAGTCATTCTTGTGGAGGGGTCATTTCTAGTCTTTCTGGCTCATTTTCTAGTCCACAATATCCAGAAAACTACCCAACAGACATCCAATGTATTTGGGAGATTCATGTGGATAAAAAATTCCGCATACAACTCATGATTCCAAGTTTGAAGTAAGAAAACAACTTTTAAAGGGAAGGTTTTATCTAAATAAGAATATCAGTGTGTGAAATTATAACAAAGATGTTTCTTCCAGTGGGAAACACTTAAGGTGAAAGGAGAACATGAATCTGTAGTCTTCCCTAGTCAATGTTCAGGTTAATTTTGTAGTGCTATCCAGTGAGTAATTTGTAGCCTGAAAAACTCAGCAAGTAGTTTAACATATTTGACTTAACTTAATTTGATAGTTTTCCTTTTTATTTTTCTTTAAAAATGCTTCACACTTTTGCCCCTGTAGTGGCACTAGGCATCTATATTTGTCCTCTTTGACTTTTTTTTTAATCTAAATTTAAACAAACAGTAAGAGATATATACATACATTAGCCAACTACTTCAGCCTTGAGCTATGCAGCTGTGAAATGTTCCACAAAGTGAGACAGCAGAGTCATTGCTTCATCTCTGACATGAAGAGAATAGATGACCCAAAGCCATTGCCATTTTTTTATCTTCGTGTTATAAATAGTTCACATTTTAAAATACCAATTTTTTCCCCAGGCTCAATAGTATATACTTTTATGCTTTGCTGTATTCCAGGATCATTAGAAGTTCTTCATTACCCCTAAGAAATATGAAGAAACTGAGATTCAGATAAGATAACTAACTTGCCAAAAACCAACCCATGTAGGTCTATATATATTAGTCAGCTTTCCTGTTGCTAGTACAAACTACCTGACATCTGCAATTTGAAGAAGAGGTTTGTTTTGGCTCATAGTGTCAGAGGTCTAGTCCATGGTTGGCAGGTTCTAAGGCAGAAACACCATGGTGGAAGGACATTGTGGAGCAAAGCCATTCATGTTATGGCAGCCAGGGGAAGAGCACCAGCAAGAGATACACCCTCCAAAGACACTTTCTCAGTGACCCACCTCCTCCAACTGGGCCACACCTCCTGACAGCATGTTCAGCTATGAAATAAATGGATTAATCCACTGATGAGTGCAGTGCCCCATGATCCAATCTTCTATGTGGGAGTCCCTTAACCCAGTCTAGTTAATAATTAAGATTAACTGGCACAGTCTATCCGAAGTCAGAGACCCAGCTCTTCACCAATATGTGGTTCTGTGATCAAAATCTAACTTCTTGTTGTATATGACATACATCATGTTATACATACAGCAAGACTATGGAATTTCATAATAAACTAGCCTCAGCCAGTCACTGAGTTATTGTTCAGTCATGACTTACTGAGGCCATGGATTCAGACATCCTTACCCTTTTCCAAAGAAAGGCTTTAAGCCAGATTATCATGCTCTTTTTTTTACTAAAACCCTAGGGACCCTATCAACCCACAGTTAAGCTACCCATACCTCCCAAATCTAACATGTTAGTATTAGTTGTCTGTTCCTTCAAAATTACTCCTGAAAACAGCATTCACAAATCCTATAACATAAGTAATCTTTTAATACAGCAACTATTTTCATTTTAAAATCTTTTTTTTTCTTCCCAAGCATTTTGGTATGGAAACTACTGTGAAATATAGAGGTAGGAAAATCTGACTGCAGTATTTGTTACATGCTAATCACTGGAGTGATCTACTAAGAATTTAGTTCAAGTATAAATTAGTATTTGTTAATGTCCCATATTGGTTGTGATTGGCCAAAGCCATTATGATTTTAAAACTTGTTACAAAATTGTAACCTAAACTTCACATATTTCTCAGGCAAAGAAAATAGAGTTCTTATAAAGCATCTGAAATGTTAATACTTACTTACTGTGTTATTTAAACTATAATCCAAATATTTGGATTATATTTGGATTATCACCCCTTTTAAGCATTAATATCCAGGAATTTTCTAACCTGCCACTAACCCTCCACTTCCATTCCCCCAGACTAGAAGATGTCCTTGGATGTCCCTATGACTCAGTGGAGATCTTCGATGGCCCCAGGATTGCTTCACTGTCCATGGGGAAGCTCTGTGCTCCAGTAGCTGTGATGTTTTTCTCCTCGTCAGACATCATAACAGTGGTGTTCCAGAGTGATTCAATGATAACTAACACTGGCTTTCATGCTCTGTTCAATGTGGTTCCACAGGATGAAAGCAAGTCAGGTGGGAATCCTCATGTATTTTTTGATCTATAAGGACAGAACAATTTCTAACTTGAGAGACTTCCCCTTAGCAGATCTCTGGGATTGAGTTTTAAAACACCTCTCAGAGTCTCAGGACTACTATTTGCTCATCCAGGAATGTTTAAACAGGTCCTGCTATGTGTCAGACTCAGTTGTAAGTGCAGGGAAACCCAGAAAATAACACAGCTCCCTGCAGTGTAGTCTAATGTACATGTGGGTAAGTATGGCAGGATCAAGGATGACAGAAGAAACAAGTAAATAAGTAAGATGGTTTATGAGTAAAGATGACGAAGAATAAAAGTAAAGTCTGGAAATAAAAAGGCAGATGGACTGGGTTGGGAATGGATGGCCTGTATGAGGAGGTGACGTGGGGAAAACGGGGACTTTCCACCCAGAGGAAGTATCAAACACAAAGGCTTTCTGGAGAAGAGTTGGACACACTGGAGCAGCAGAAAGACAGGAAGCATAGCAAAGCCTGTGGTTACAGTAAGGGGAGGCTGTTCTTGGGGTGTCTCCAAGACACATCATGTAATTCCAGTTGACCATGGCCCAGAAATAGTGTCCCGGGCTCTATGAAGTCAGTCACCTTGGTGGTGCAGTGCCTTTCAGATAATCAAATCTACACTTTTCCAAGACACATTTTTTTAAAAAAACAGCTGGGAACTTTCTTCCCTAGTTACCAGCATTTCAACCCACATAACAACTTGGCAAGATCTGCATTAACCATGACAAGCTGGGTGCTTCATGCACGTAACTCTCACTGACTCACTCTTCTGAGGTAGATGCTGCTGGGGTCCTCCATTCTGCAGATGAGAAAATGGAGGCCCAACGAGACAAAATAGCTTTTCAAAGGTCACACACGTGAAGACCAGTAGAACATGGATTTCAAACCAGTTCTGTCTCACTATAAAGTCCTTAAACCCATATGGAATCCATACACCTTTTAGATTTTGTCCTCATGCTTCCCATGGCCATCCCAGGGGAGTCAGAAGTCATTTCTTATGTAAAACTTTCCAGACTCAGAAAATAAAATCCTTCTCTGTTTAGAAGATGCACCTGTGTTGCGGCTGGTGGGCAGCTCCAATCGGTGCTTAGGTCGTGTGGAAGTCCTCCACCAGGGGACCTGGGGCACCGTGTGTGATGACCTGTGGGACCTGAATGAAGCCGAGGTTGTGTGCAGACAGCTGGAGTGCGGACAGGCAGTTGCTGCTCCCGGAAATGCTTACTTTGGCAGAGGTTCTGGAGACATTGTTCTGGACAACATCCAGTGTTCAGGAAGTGAGAACCATCTTGGCCAGTGTCCCAGCTCCGGCTGGTCAGACCACAACTGTGGCCACCACGAGGATGCTGGTGTGGTCTGCTCAGGTACCCTCTCCTGCTACTGTGTGTTCTTTGTACAAGGAATCTCAGTGATGGATGAAGGCCATGCACAGAACAGAGCCAGGGAATCTAAGGACAGTGACCAACAGATGAACATCCCTTCAGCCAGGTAGACAAAGAAAGCTGAGAGACAAATGCACCAGGGTCACTAAATGAGCTGGTTCTATTCTCCATGCATTTCCCAGTTATGTAGCTGCTTTTCCATAGAAAGCTGTGTCCTTATGCTTGCTGATGTAACACAAAGCCTGCCTGGTTGAGACCTGTCTGAAGTAGAAAACCACCATTTCTTTGTTTCAAAGAATTTAGATTTTCTTAATTTACTTTTTTTCTGCATGTGCAGATGCTGGGAACTGGGCAGAAGATGTGGCTCCTGCACCCCCAGGTAGGTCTAACTGTGTATTTCCATCTCTGCAAAATTAAAAAGAAATCAAACCTGTATCCTGAAATAAATCCTTGTGGACCATGATCAGGTTGGTGGATCAGTTGGTGATTTCCAACCATGGTTGCACACTAGAATCATCCAGGGAGCTTCTGATATTTCCAGTGCCCAGGACATACTCCAATCTGGTCACATCCGTTATATTGAAATCTCCCCATTTGATTCCATTGTGCAGCCAGGTCATAAAACAGTGGTTCAGCCAAGGGGATAAGAGTCACATTTCCCAAATTCGTTAAGTGAAAAGAGGGTTTGATGTGAGGAGGAGAGAGGGTGGAAAGACTTGTATCACAGGGATACGAGCTAGAAAATGAAAGCATGCAAATAAGCAAAGATGTCCTCAGTGTCAAACTATGGATCAAGAGCAAACTTACTTTTGGGTTCTTATTTGGGCCTTTTGACTTAGCCAACACAACAAGATAGACCTCCTAGAACACACTCATTGCTGATATGGAGCACTACCTTCCATCTAAATCCAGTATACATGTAGTCCTGCCTCCTGCCTCCTGCCTCCTCCTGCTTCCCTGAGATGGGTTCTCAGCTGCCATCTTCCCTGTCCCTGATTTCTGGGGCATAGTTCCTTCCCACACTGCCTAGTGCTTGTTTCAACCCTTTGTCCCCGGTGGGGGTCTGGGCAGCAGGAAGATATCAAAGTCAAAGGGTACACTCTGTGTTGTTCTAGGACTCACCATGAGCCCTGGAGGCTGTCCCTACCCTGGGCTGGCAGCACCATTGCATATTTGATTGAAACTCAGTGAAGGTCTCTTGCCAATCCTAATCCAAGTTCTGGGTGCATTCCAGGCTCAATCATTCCTTGAGGGCTGTCCAATCGCTATGGGATGGCACAGTAGACTGTGGGAAGATGAAATTGATTTATGCACGCCTGGTTAATGCCCCACATTTTCATGTTTCACAGTACTCAAAAATTATATAGCAACTCTGAGGGGAGGCAGGGCACACAGAATCCTTTTTCAGGGTCTACCAAGTGGCTAAGATCCCTTTGATTCCCTGTGGCTGTGCTCTTCTTCCTCAGTGAAGAATCCATTCTAGCCTGGTCCAGGGAGGAGGAAGGCATGGCAGGATGAGAGCAGGGATAGCTTTCAGTTCGTCAGATGGCTCTGTGCTCAAATCCCGTTGGATCCTAAGGTTTCAAACTGCAGAAAGTTTTTCTTTTTCTCCCTACTATAATATAACTTTTTCTGAGGCACAGATGCACAACTGGCCAGAAAAGAGAATAGATCAAAGGATTAAGGAAATTATGGAAGGAAATGAAACCTTTTGTGCCTAAATAGTATCTCACTCTAAGTGTTAATCCAGCAAACCACTCGTTGATAGAACATGATATACCTACCTACACATGAAAAACTAGGGCATTTTCCATTTAATTATCTGAGGAGATTATTGTGTGCGTACCAAACATTTTAACAAAAGAAAATTGTTTGTAAGACACTTAGATTAGAATTTTTTCTGCTGATATCCAATATTTGTCCTTGGCAAAGGACCAGGAAGAATAGGCAGGTGAATAGTATCCATCACCTTCCCTGTTTGGCCCCTTACAGCAGAGCTAGCAGGGGAATGAGACAATAAGGCTAAAAGAATTTTCGTACCATCTGACCTATCTGCTTGAAATGCTTCTTTACTAAATCCTCTTGTAAAACTCAAGCAGGTACCAGAATTCCAATGAACAGGATTTCAAAGCTGGCCTGCCCTCAGCCAATCATATATTAGGAATTGAGGATATGAAATATTGAAGTGTATGCTATGTAGAAATCAAATCCAACGAACACATGAAAGAGAAAGGATCTTAAACATGCATTGGAGCCTTCTACTGAGGCCCATCTTCCTTCAGCAGGACACTTGTCCAGCCTACCCTTACTTCCTGGCGTTTTGTCTTCCTGCATTCTGGCACCTAATTCAGGACGCTTGTCCAGCCTACCCTTACTTCCTGGTGTTTTGTCTTCCTGCATTCTGGCACCTGATAAACTTTGAAGGCACAGTAGCATGATCATAAGCCCAGTGATGTGACTGTGGGTAATTCTTAGTGACTGGTCAGTCTTGGGGAAGCCCTTGGCTTGGTGGATAGCTAATAACAAAAAATAAGTTATGTAGCTATGTACTGTCTGTGATTGTCTGTTGAGTCCACTAAAAGAAAGAGAGATACCATCCCAGAACAGGGAGAAAAGAAAAATGAGTACGTCAACACAATTAATTAAAACTCAGAGGTAGTAATATGTCCATCCATTTGTAATTAAGTATAAGATGATTTTATGACATTAAGCTCTCTTCTGATTTTCTCTGGTTGATTTTTTGCAGCTTCCATTCCTCAAGGCCCTGTACCACAAGGTAAACCTCTCTGTTGACATTATGACCTGTAAAATATTGAGTGGAATCATTTTGGTAGCTTATCAAAGCAGAATAAACTTCAGCCTGTCTTATCTGCCATGTGGGAAGGAATAGGTATGCTGGAGCCCTCACCATCAGGTGGTTTGTCCACCTCTGACTTGAGCTGGGTTTTGTAACTGGGTTAAGCTGGGAAGAGCATTATAGAAGCATAGCTTTAATATCACATATGTACTATGTACAGTTTCCCAGTGCCATTTCCAGCCTCACCTACAATCAATTTTGGACATCTTTCATCCCTTTTCAGTGGTCTTTTAGATGAAAAAATGCTCACACCAGCCAAGCCACAACCATGTCTTGATCATCAGAATCCCTTCCAAATTTGTGATTCCACTGTTGAACTTGAGATTCTGGGTTCTACCTGGAAAAATGAAAGGTGCATGCTTAAAGAAGCCAACCATGGTCTCTCATTTGCTTTCACAGGAGGAAGTAACTCTTGTGGAGGATTAATTTCAAGTCCCTCAGGCTCCTTCTCCAGTCCTTGGTATCCTACAAACTACCCCACAGATGTGGAGTGTGTCTGGGTGATACATGTGGCTGAGAAGTTCCACATAGAACTGATGATCCCAAGCCTGAAGTAAGCAGCTTTGCCTTTCTCTACTTTCAAGGCCAGGGTAGGTTTGAATCTGTGCTTTCTTCAAAGAGGTGGCCTTTCCATGGGACAAATCCTTTCAATTCTAGGTGAGAATAGGTCTGGTCATTGAAGCTGTGGGAGTCCTTTAGGCCTTTAGCTCAATTTCTTGTGTAATAAGAGAATAACCTAGGGGCATCCAGACACCAAGCCATGGAGCCCTGCTGAAATGGCCCACGTGTAAAGACCTCACCCCTACCCTCAGCCAGCTCCATCTGAGATACAAGCTTCTTCCTCTTGCTGAATCTAGATCTGTTCTTCCTCATTCCTATTGCCTGGTCCTTTTTCCCTCTGCTGCAACACAAAGCAAATCCACTTCCTTGTCCTTCAAGAATTTCTATTATGTCCCTACCAGGATTTTTCTTCTACAAATTAAGCAGTTCATTCACTTCTCCCAACATGAACATACTGCGTCCTACTTCTTTCTTCACCTATGAATCTTTTTAAAGGAGCTTATCTTATCTCAATGCATATTTAAAGACATGTATATACAGTCATCCCTTGGTATCCATGTGGGATTGGTTCCAGGAGCCCCTTGGCTACCAAAATCCACAATGCTTGAGTCCCTTATATAAAATGGCATAGTATTTATGCAGAACCTACACACATCCTCCTTTACCCTTTAAATCATTGCTGATTTCTTTTATTTTAAAGAGAATAAAAAAAAAAACAAAATTTCAAAACAAGATAATAGGAGAATAACAATGGTTAATACATTGCATATTGTTATCTTTAAATGAGTTACTCAGAGTATAAGATATAGGCATTTAATTGTCCAAACTATATTATAAAATCTCATATTGGCATTTAATTATCCAAACTGTATTATAAAATCTCATATTGCTTCCAACAAATAAATGTGAGTTAAGTGAATGAGTTAATGATGTACTGTCCTCACAATATATAATTTCCTCCATTTATGCCTTGTCTATCTAGAAAGGATTTAGCTGCTAGATAAACCCAATTGAAATCACCCTTTACTGTCCACCACTTTTACAATTTTAAAAACAGCATTCAGACTCATAACTGCTGTGTCCAAGGTATACAGATGAAAAACAGTAGCAGTGTTCTGGGATATACTGTGGGACAAAGTCAGAAAGACCCAGATGCAACCCAGTATAGAAAGACAAAACCAAATCACATATCAGCACAAAACTTTCTTTACAATAAACTAAGAGAAAGTAGTAGTATAACTATCTTAACTACCTTGTATATATACATACATGTATATGCTGATTATTTACAGTACCTCATACAATGTAAATCCTGTATAAAAATTATACTGTATTATTTAGGGAGTAATGACAACAAATTTGTGCACATTTAATACAGATACAATCTTTTTCAAATAGTTTTGGTCCACAGTCAGTTGAATCCTCAGATGCAACCCACACATGCCAAAGCCTACCTGTGGCTGGGCGTGGTGGTGCCTGCCTGTAATCCTAGCACTTGGGAGGCTGAGGCAGGAGGATCGTTGTAAGTTCGAGACCAGCCTGGGCTACAAAGTGAGCTCAAGGCCAGCCTGAACTGCTTAGTGAGACCCTGTCTCAAAAAGACAAAAAACAAAGTCCACCTGTATAGACATGTGTATGTTCATATATAATACATACATATACATGAATAAATTTTTTGGAAAAAAGTAATATAAATAAACATATTTCACTAGCATAGTAAAAGTTTTTAAATTCTTATGGCAAAATTACTTTTCCTGATAATGTTTAACCCTGGTTTTGTCTTTCTAAGCCCTAAGTTGTAGAAGTACTGCCCCAGCGTGGGTCCTCTGCACCCGAATGTGTAAAATTGCTGAGTTGATTATATTAAGCTTCTAAACTTCTCAAACTGATAAAATCAATCAACCATTACATATTGTCATCATTGTTTAATTGTAGAAACTGTATAATTACTTCTTTAATTTCATCTATGACCCATTGGTTGTTCAGAATGGTGCTATTTAATTTCCATGTGTTTATGAAGTTCTTCTGGTTTCTTTTGCCATTGATTTCCAATTTCATTGCACTATGGTCTAATAATTTGCAGGGGATAATTTCAATTCCTTTGCATCTACTTAAGCCTGCTCTCTGAGCTAGTATGTGGTCTATTTTGGAGACTGTCCCATGTGCCCCTGAGAAGAATATGTATTCTGATGTTGTGGGGTGGAACACTGTGTAGACATCTACTAAGTCCATTTATTCAAAAGTTTCATTCAGTTCTAAAATTTCATTGTTTTTTGTCTAGTTGATTTGTTTTTTGTGACTATGGGGTATTAGAGTCCTCCATTACAATTTTATTAGTAATTATTTGATTTTTTAATGGCCATTCATGTTTGCTTTACATAACTGTGTACACTGGTATTTGGTTCATATATATTTATGATTGTTATCTCTTCCTCTTGGATTGTTCCCTTTACAAGGATGTAGTGACTTTCTTTGTCTCTCTTTATCAGTCTAGTCTTGAAATCCACTTTGTCTGTAAATCGAATAGCTACCCCTGCTTTTTTCTGGGTTTCTGTCTCATGGAGTATAGTTTTCTATCCATTGACTTTTAGTCTATGAATTTCTTTTTGAACTAAATGTGCTTCTTGTACACAACATATTCCTGGATCTTGCTTTGCGATCCATTGTGCCAGTCTCTTTTGATTGGTGAATTAAGACCATTAACATTGATGGCTATAACTGATATACATTGACTTATCCTTGTCATATTATTTTCCTGTTGTTGGCTCTCTTTTTCCCCCTCTGTTTAATTGTTTTCCTTGCCTGGTAGATTCATTCTGTTGGGGTTCAAGGAGTTACAATCCTTGTTATCTTTTTTAGAATATCCTTAAGAACATTT